GATTTCTTTTCTTTCTTTCGTTCCTTCGCATGGGATTTAATGTGGATGAGAGATGCATGCGTGTGATCTCGCTACCTCTCCTGTGAATCTCTCTTTCTCTCTTCTCCCTCCTTCCTCCTCTTTCTCATCTTCTTTTTCGAATCTGAGAGTGTGAGAGGTTATAAGTAGGGATTCAGACAGAGGTGATATTGGGCGCATTGCCCAGTATCTGATTCGACATTTCCGGGACAAACATTGATTGGACACTCGACAAGGGACTATTTTGGGACTTTGCTATTGCCATCTTGGTCTACTCCCTCGCCTCCTTCGTCTCGTCCCTCCCCCATCTCTCATCCGTGGTATCTCCCCATGTATGTGTGTGAAGGAGGGACCTTTCTTCCATGATTGGGGTCCCTCCTCTCTCTCTCTCTCATGTGTGATATGTGATGGGACTCGGGTCAGTCCAGATCAGGTCAGATCTTCCCTTTAAGTCTTCCACTGTGCCATTTTGTGCCATCTTGTATGTATTCGGAATGTACATTCCTTGTTGATGCTACGCTGACCTCGCATTGTCCATTTCAGTCCTTTTCATCACATAGTCGGAGCCACGCTTGTGAATCAGGACAACCTGATCTGACACAAGCGCGGGGACAATCAAGATCCTGGATCGATTGATCGATTGATTGATCCCAGATTGATTGATTGATTGATTGATTAATTGATTGATTGATTGATTGATTGATTGACCCTAGATTGATTGATTGATTGATTGATTGATTGATTGATTGATTGATTGATTGACCCTTGATTGATTGATTGATTGATTGATTGATTGATTGATTGATTTTAGTCCCCAAGATCACAGATTTTGACCTAACTGCTGTAATTATTTTTTTTCCCCCTCTTTTTTCAGATTTCATTTCCCCGCTATTTCCATTCGTAGAAAATCGCCATAGCAAAGCATCTGAAATTCTCGTTTTTCACTGTTCTTTCTGAAATTTGAAATTTCGTTGCTGGAGATCCGGAATACTATTACGATTTTTTTTTTCCGATTCATATGTCCTTCTGCAATTTTCCGTTATTTCAAAACTCCGCGAATTTTCCCGAATTCGTCATTTCGAAGTTTTTTTTAATCTCTTATGAAATTCAAAATTTTGTGACTAAGAAATCCGAATTTTTTTCCCGATTATATTCCGTTACGAAATTCCCGTTGTTACAAAATTTCGATTTTTTTTCTTCTGAAATTCATTTTTTTATTATTTCGAATTTTTGGAATCCCCCCAGCGTTCTGTTTTTCACACAGTCTGGGGGCAACGACCATTTTAATATTGACCGTTAATCTGAGTTTTGGAAATTCTACTTTTAATATTGACCGTTAATCTTGCAGTTAATTGTTTACAAACTGCGCACACTATCACCTAACATATTCCAATTTTTTTCTATCTTGGAATTTTCCGGACTTGCGAAAATTGATATTTTTTTCTTCCTTACTATTTTTGCAGTTCAGCCACTCCCATCATCTCCATTGGTTACTTCGATTCATTCGCAGTCTGAAATTCGAATTTTTTTGGTATTTTTTTCGATTAGCTGCTGAGGGGATACTTGGGGGGGCCTACCGAACTTGCGAAATTCAAATTTTTTTCCTTTTCCTCGAAATTTTTGCAGAAGTTCCAATTTTTTTTCTTGATTAGTGGCTTCCTATCTGGGCGACCCATTCGATTGCCCACCCCACTTCTCCCCACCCCAACTATCCATATCTTCTCCGTCCTTCTTAACTGCCCATTCACCTCTAGTTGCAGACCTGGTAAGTCCTCACTTTAGCAGGCCACATCAGGGACCCGCAACGCATGACCATACTTACTCGCTCGCATTAAGTAGCGATGGATCAGAAAGCATGCGAGCCTGACAAGGCCTTTGAGGCACGGTTGGCGGCCATCATAGCCGAAAGCAAGCAACGGGCAGAAGCAGCAATAGCAGTACGGAAGAAGAGAGAGGCAAAGGCATAGAAACTGCGTCTTCTAGCCGAAGAACAACGACAAAAGCACGCGGCAGCAGCAACCAAGGACACCGATGAAGAATGGGTGCGACGACGAGAAGTTATATTTAGGGAGGAGAATGCCTTACACGCACAGGCCAAGGACTGGCAGAGGGAGGCCGAGAGCGGTGAATCCGTTGACTACGGGAGCAAGGTATCTCATCTGCTCAACCATGTCACGGACCTCCTCGCTACCTGCATTGCGCAGCAGGAGGACATCCACTCTCTCGACCACACCAACAAGGCGCTACAACAGTCGATGGACTAGATGCTTAAGCGCATACAGCAGCTGGAGTAGTTGGTTGCTACCGCCAACTCCAACACCGGCCCCTCCGACCTCGTCGACCACGTTAATGTCTTGGAGATAGACGTGGGAACACTTAAGACAGGGGCACAGCAGCTGCAACAGCAGGTTTCCGCAGCGGCCGACCCTAGCGCAACGACACGCGAAACTATTGCCAAGTGCGATGGGCTCTCGATCTTCTGTGACGCATCGAAAACCGACCTCATCCAATGGAGGTGCCGTTTGAACTCAAGTTGGACATCCACCACGTCATCGACGCGAACCGACATGCATATTTGTACTCCCGCTCGGGAGGCGCGTGTCAGGCATGGTTGGACAACATGCTGTCCGCACATGCATGTACAGTCACCGAGTTACACAAGTACATCACCTGGGCGGATCTCACGGCGGCATGGAAAAAGCGTTTCCAAGTAGAACCGCCCAAGCACCAAGCGATGGACAAGCTGCTAACATTTTCGCAGAACAACATGCCAAGTGGAGACTGGATATCCGAGTTCCAATGACTGGCAAGCACGCCCAAGTTGCTGATGAATTTCGACGACATCAAGCTTTACTTCATAAAGAGGTCGTGCCCAGCGTTGCAGAATGCGTTAACTCAAGTCGCCGAGAACCTCAACACAAGTGAGGAACTCTTCAACAAAGCCGCGCAGATCATTGTGACGAACTTGGCAGCCAGGAATACGGGCCACTCGTCGACTGCCGGGCAGGGCGCGAATCAGCATCGACCGAAAGTGGCCGTGGTAGCAGCAGCAACGCCTAGCGACCCTTCAATTTTAAACGAGGCTATTTCGTCTGACGAGGGAGACAGACTCGGAGCTGCCCAGAATGGTGGCCGCCCCGCCAAAGGACGAGGACGCGACAAGACGAAGACGAACACCATTACTTTTTCTGGGCGCGGACAAGCAGCTCCAGCTCAAGGACCTTGGACAACGTTTGGTCTGACACAACATGGATATCGCATCCACACCAAGTACCATTATTGCTTGTGGTGCAACAACTCAGAACATGAAACAGCGAGCTGCCCCCACGAAGGCCAAGGGCACCACCCAGTCGGGAAAGTGAGCACCGCCGAGAGTGATGCGATGGCACTCTCGACACCTACGGAACCGGTTCCTGTGCGGGTAACCTCCCTCGGTTCTGAGGCACATGCGGACGTCGTAAGTCCTCCCATTCTGCACTCCTTCGAGGACTATGCTGCCCGACTCGTACCTTCACTGAATTCATGAGCCCAAGGACAGGATGTATGTGCGGTTTCTTCTGCGTTCAGGAGCAGCGACATTGATTCGTCTTCAAGTGGACCTTCACGGGATTCGGCGTGTGCGTTGGACATAGAGGACTTGGCCCATTGACGCCCGAGGATTTTGCATGGCTTCCTCTCCCTTCCACCGGCTGCTTGCCGGAGCCGGAATGCGCAACTCTTCGCGCTCAATTACATACATACCTAGCCTTCTATGCACCACCAACTTTGCCGACGGAAGACGAAGTCGCGGTGGGGGACATTCTTGCGTATGTGAGCAAGGTGGCCTGCAAGTTTCGCACGCAGCGGTACGGCGACAACAACGCACCGCTCATTTATGTCCGCATCCAAATCGGGCAAGCGTCCTGCAGCGCTTTGCTGGATAGCGGCGCGACTCGCAACTTCATTAGCCAGTCCTTCATGCAAAGGGTCGGCCTTGGACCACAAGTTCGAAGGAAGGCACACCCTACATCGATCAAGTTGGCGGACGAAAGAACACAACAACTCCTTGATCGCTACATCGAAGCCGTGCTGGTTTATTTTGCACCTCATGCATGCAAACCGGTGACATTTGATGTCTTGGACACAGACTTCGACATCATTCTGGGCATGCCTTGGCTTGCAAGTGCGGATCACACGGTCTACT